TTATATATATATATATATATATATATATATATATATATATATATATATATATATATATATATATAGACACACACACACACACACACACACATATATATATATTGTATATTGAATATTTTGTTTTGTTTTGTCATTTTAATTATGAAAATAATTATTTTGACATAAACTATTTGAAGTATATTTTATACTTGTTTAAAAATGATATGGGTATTTTATTTGATTTAAAATTAATTTTATATTAATTTTTGGTGTCAAATAAAATACACTTTGAACATTTAAGTGGAGAAGAATTTCAAGAATCCTTCTCACTTTTCATAATCCACTTTCGGCCATGTGACATTACAAAGGACAATTTGCCTTTTTGATTTTGCATATATTTAAAGATGTTGAAATTTTCTAATTTGTCCTTTTGTGTATTATTGATCTTTAAAATCCCTTTATAATAATGATACACAACATTGTATTAAAGTGAGAGTTTTCATTCGGCCATACCATTTCTAGAGAGAAAAAGTTTATCTTTTGTGTTCTATTAATATCATTTTGTGTATAGAAAATATCTATAATATTTTCTAAATATTATTAGAAATATTTTCTATAGAAATATACAAGATTATTATTATCCCAAATTTTAGTCTTTATATTTTATACTACTATAATCTTTACTAGCATAAAGATTGTGGTAGACTACGGCGTTGTTCGTGTGTCAAAGTTGGAGACCAGACGCTTGAACGGTTACGTTTGCACTTTCAACGCTCTTCCTACGACTTCTTCGTTTTTACCGCTTACGGAGAAAGGTATAAATTTCTTACTCACTATAAGTTTTAGTACGTGATTCTAGGCAAGATAATCATGTTAGGATGTTAAAATTTTTATATTCCGCTGCCTATCCTTGCATGGTTACATTTCATTTCCTACCCATTAGACGGGATATGTCACTTTAGAAGTTGGCTGAGCTTAACATACGGGAGATTGTCAGACTTCATGGCGTACCTGTATCCATTATCTCCGACCGGGATCCTCTTTTCCCTTCGAAGTTCTGGAAGGGATTTCAGCAAGCCTTGGGTGGCAAGCTTAATATGAGTGCAGTTTTCACCCTCAGACCGATGGTGAGTCTGAGTGCGTGATTGACTTTGGAGAAAAATGGGAACGATACTTGCCATTGATGGGGTTTGCTTACAATAATAGTTATCAAGCGAGTATTCAGATGGCTCCGTATGAGGCATTTTACGGAAGGAAGTGTAGGACTCTAGTCTGTTGGACCGAGTTGAGTGAGGCAAGGTTGGAAGGTCCCGAGCTAGTACGGGAAACCAAAGAGAAGGTCAAGTTGATGCGAGACCGGTTGCACGTGGCCTTGGACCGATAGAAGTTGTATGCAGACTTAAAGCATCGGGAAATCTCCTTCGAGGTAGGGGATAAGGTTTTCCTAAAGGTATCACCTTGGAGGAAGGTTCTTCCTTTTGGAAAGAGGGGAAAATTGAGTCCCCGTTTCATTGGGCCCTATCTTGCCACATAAAGGGTGGGTCCTGTTGCTTATCAGCTGGAACCATAGTTATTACGGCGTCGCCTAGGCGTCCAGTCCGAACTTTTTTCTTGCCATGCTCCTCCGACTCGACTTAATTTCCGGAGCTCGCCTCGTCGTCGCCGCAGAGACGCCTAGACGTCCAGTCGGTACGCGTGGGGCGACTTACGCCGTGAAATAAAAAAAATTCCTAGCCCAATTGATCTTAGATGTCCAGCCCAATTAATTTTTTAAAATAACTTATCTCAAGCCCAATTGATTTTAAAATATCAAACCTACCTCAATAATCCAATCGTCATTGCGTATTCTCTCAATCTCTCGGTCGTCGTTCTCTCTCGGGCACACTTCGCGGTCGTCCTTCTCTGGAGCTGAATTGGGTCGTTGTTCTGTCTGCCTCACGTGCTTCTTGACTTCGGAAATCCAGCGTGGGAATTACATCGGCTCTCTCCAGTCTCCCCCCACAGTAAGTCTCTCTCTCTCTTTACATTTACATTAACTTTGGTTTTTTTAGATAATAATTAAATTGTTTCTAGAAATAGTATCACTCCTCCACTATTCCTCCACTTCACTCAGCATTATTTAAAGGTTTTTTTCTTAATAATGATTAATGATTTAATCTTCCTTTCAAAAAAATTCTGATTTTTTTTGCCTAGCACTGTAAATTACTTTTTAATTCTTCCTCTGCCATATTACATAATTTTTTAAATGTTTTTCTGGTGATTTAATTTTTTAAATGTTCTTTTGTAAAAATAATTAAATGTTTGTATACTCCCTCCGTCCCACTGTCTTTGTCCACTTACCTTTTAGCACACCATCCAATGCATTTCTTTAATTCATTTTATCTTGTAATTTGTATATTAAAAAATTATAGAAATTATATATTAATAATCTATATGTTAAGACAAATCAAACAAGATCACACATGACTATATTTAGGCTTACACATTGAGATAATTTGATGAGTCAAAGTGCTTAGATGAACAGTTCCAAAAGTCAAAAGTGGACAAAGACAGTGGGACGGAGGTAGTATTTGTTAGTTAAATGGCTGGAATAATTTATATATTATTTTAAATTATGTGTTTTTAACAGGTTTATAGAGCATTACCATGGCAGAACAGTCAAACAATGAAGTGATTGATCCAAACGACCCAAAACGAAAGGCCAATTCAAACGACCCAGGATGGAAATATGGTTTCAGGCCAGACTTGACGAATATAGATTTGGTTGAATGCATACTTAGCGGGAAAAGAATGCATTCTGGGATAAATAGATTGAAACAACACTTAGCCGTTGGATATGGAGATGTGACCGGATGTCCCAAAACCACGCCAGAAATTGTAAGGGAGATGAGAGCATATATGCAAAAAAATTCACGGAAGCCTTCGATGAGGTTTAAAGATGTTGTTCCTAACAATGAAACCCTTGAATAAGCGGCAACACATCTGGAACCACCGTCATCTACAGATGCCACTTCTCATCCAAGTTCTGGGACATCAAAAAGGAAACAGTCGGTTTCTAGATTTTTTGAATCACAGGAAAAGGCACCAAAACAAACCAAGTCGGTTGCTTCGATGCTAAGGAAGACTCCAGAAGAAGTTGTGGATGAAAGGCACACCAAGGGAGCTTATCAATCAACCATAGAGAGCACAACACAGAGCAAGGAAGAAAGGGAACGGGTATTAATGCATATTGCTGATTTCTTTTTTGAGAACAATATCTCTTTCAATGCGGCTAATTCAAGGAGTTATGAAGTTACGGTCGAGTCCATAGGGCAATATGGACCAGGCCTTAAACCGCCAAGTTTTCATGAGTTGCGTGTTCCCCTTCATGAGAAGGCCAAAAAGGAGACGGAAAAACTTAAAGAAAAGCATGAAATTTCCTGGAACGAGCATGGGTGTACGCTAATGTCAGATGGATGGACGGATACAAAAAATCGTCATTTATAAATTTTCTTGTAAACAGTCCAGAGGGAACATTTTTCTTGGAGTCTGTTGTGTTGGAGTTGTGCCCTGATGGCCAACTGTTTATCGTTATTCTATCATGTATAGGCAGATATAATATGTTTACACATCTCATGCTAATGTAAACAAATATTATATTCCTAGATTTATATTTAAAAGATGTTTATCAGATAGTGTTTTTCTGCTGATGAGACTAACATCTTGAAATAAATATTTATCTAAATGTCCATAGTCGAGTATTAACGAGAGTGGGATATCGTTAATGCATGTGAGACTAGTGTGTGTTGGATGTTTGACTTAGTCTCATAGTCAATGACGGTGTGTTCGCATCCGCACATGGGCAGATATTATCTAGAGATAATAGGATGCCGGACTGACCCATCCTAAAGATGTTGCTTGAACTTTTAGTTCATGCTCTAAGCATCTTTAGCGCGACCACGGGTGTAACTATCCTTCGACTTGAAGTATTACGTTTTCGGCATATGTGAACCTGCATACTTTGATGCATTGTCCTAAGCCATATATGAAATAAGGATGGTATACAGGCTTTGTTTTGGGTATGCCGCAGCGCGTATTCAGAAACGTAGATTACGTACATAGGATTTGTCACTACTCTTTTTAAAGAGATTAATGTCTTATGGGGCCCACTGATAAGTCATGACTGAGGAAACTGCATGGCCATGCTGAGATGCTTTTATGACGTCTGTTCCTATTAGTCATACTTGATAAATTAGTGAATGACTTAATGGATACAAGCTGGATTTTATTAATCCCTTGCATTGAGTTTAGACATTGAGACAAAGGGATACAGTTAGACGGAGTCTGAGTCGTGGAAAGGTTTTGACGGTGCAAACGTCTTAACTTATAATCTGGGGGCAATAATGTGTTGCTAGATACCGCTTATTGCTTATAATATTGGTGCAGAGCCAATACTGTGGCCAGCTTTATAAGTGCCTATACAGGTCACACACTTTGGACAATTTAAGGAGTAGGATTAAACAATGGGATAATAAGTAATTTGTATATTTTTAAAATAGTAAAATAAAATATTTTGGAATATAATATTATATATATAAATATTCGGTTATATATATTATATATATGTGCCGATTAATATATATATAAAAATATTATATGTTGAATATTTTATTTTGATTTGTCATTTTAATTATGAAAATAATTATTTTGACATAAACTATTTAAAGTATATTTGTATACTTGTTTAAAAATGATATTGGTACTTTTATTTGATTTAAAATTAATTTTATATTAATTTTTGGTGTCAAATAAAATACAGTTTGAACATTTAAGTGGAGAAGGATTTTAAATATCTTTCTCAAATCAAAACTTTCGGCCATATGATAAAATGGATTGACAAATTGCTAATGTTTTGCTTGATTGATAAATTAGTGGACTAATTAATTTTGTCATTTAGCTAATGACCAAATAATGGAGCATCTTTGTTTTATTTAAACAATTCACTCCATTTTGCTAAGAGAGCTTTTATGATTCGGCCATACCATTTTAAGAGAGAGAGAAATATTATTTTGGTTCCATTAATATCATTTATGTATAGAAAATATCTATAATATTTTCTAAATATTATTAGAAATATTTTCTATAGAAATATACAAGATTATTATTATCCCAATTTTAATCTTTATATTTTATACTACTATAATCTTTACTAGCATAAAGATTGTGGTAGACTCCGGCGTTGTTCGTGTGTCAAAGTTGCAGACCGGACGCTTGAACGGTTACGTTTGCACTTTCAACGCTCTTCCTACGACTTCTTCGTTTTTACCGCTTACGGAGAAAGGTACAAATTTCTTACTACTATAAGTTTTAGTACGTGATTCGGGGCAAGATAATCATGTTAGGATGTTAAAATTTTTATATTCCGCTGCCTATCCTTGCATGGTTACCTTTCATGTTGATGCTTCGAGTGAATCCCAAGATGCCAATTTGCTAGCCGGTTTATTGGAGAAGAAGATTGAAGAAATTGGTAAGGATAGGGTTGTTCAAGTTGTGACGGATAATGGCTCCATGTATAAAGCGGCAGGCAAAGTCCTACCGGAGAGAATACCCACATTATTTTGGACTCTTTGCGCAGCGCATTGTATTGATCTTATGTTGGAAGATATTGGCAAGCTTTCCGACTTTAAGTCTACAATTGGATGAGCTAAGTGTATCAAGACTTTCATCTATCGTCATGGAAAGATTTTGCATGCGATGCTGGAGAAGACAAATGGTAGAGACCTTGTGAGACCTGGAATCACTAGATTTGCAACAGCTTTTCTCACTTTGCAATGTCTTCATAAATTTAAAGATGCGTTGAAAATGTTATTTTCTTGTGAAGATTAGAGCCGATCTAGACTATCAGCGACAGAGGCAGGGAAAAGAGTAAGTGACATTATTTTTTCTTCTAGTTTTTGGGCGACGGTGGAGGATTCTTTGCGAGCAACACACCCATTGTTGTTGGTGTTGAGGATTGTTGATGCTGATGAAAAGCCCGCTATGCCAGAACTTTTGTTGGCTATGGATCTAGCTAAAAGCAAAATCACACATGCTTTACAAGCTAAGCCAACAAAATTGAGAAAAGTCATGGAGATCATTGAGAATAGGTGGGAAGACCAGATGGGAGTGAATTTATATTCGGCGGCTTTATTTTTAAATCTGTCGAAATATTTTGATCTTAAGAAAAAAGATGCAATAGCGGCTTCTCATCATAGAATGATATTCAATGATTTGCTGGAGAAGATGATCCCTGATGAGTCTTTGCAAGGGAAATTAATGGATCAGGTCACTCAATATGACAAATTGCGTGGGAGTTTTGCAAAACAACTTGCAATTAACCAACAAAAGACAAAGAGCCCAAGTAAGTGCATCAATAAATTCCAATGTAGAATACTAATATTATAACACTAAGTGCTTTTATCATGGGTTGTAGTTGATTGGTGGGATGCATCTGGTGGCTTTACTATAGAGCTCCAAACTCTTGTGAAGCGTATCGTTGGACTATGTTGCACTTCTTCTGGATGCGAACGCAATTGGAGCACATTTGAACACGTAAGCTAAGTAATGTTGATAGTCTAGTAAAACTTTAAACTTTAAACATAAAAATTAACTAGCATGTGATTTTTTTAAATTTATTTAGATTCACAGCAAGAAAAGAAATCGATTGGAGCATAAGAGGTTGAATGACTTGGTATTCATCAAGTATAATCGTAGGATTGCAACAAGATTTCAAAAGCGCCAAGAACAAGGAACTGATTTTAACCCTTTGATTTATGAGGATTTTCAGTGGGATAACGAATGGGTTAGTCATGAAGTTGTTCATCCAGGCCAAGATCTTCTCTGGACTACAGTTGATGAAGCTATGGGTGCTTCTACCAATCTTGAAGGACGTAATGCCCCGAGGAGAGGTTGTACTAGTGAAGCTAATCAAGGTTCAAGTTCTAGTGTAGCAACTTATCAATGCCAAAGAAGGTCTACTTCTGGAACACCATTGCCTGCTCAAGAATCTCAAGATGGTGATGGTCATGGTGAGCCAGACGTGTTGCCAAATGATGATGAAGATGTCGAAGATGACTTTGGCCAAGCACCACTGTCCCCTCATCATAGTGCCCAAAATGCAAGCAATGACGTTTTTGATTCAACGTGTCTTCAAGATTTTTGAGACTTTGTTGTCAAGCAATGACTTTTTCAATTCTACTTTTCTTGATGGTTTTTGAGACTTTGTTGTGACATAATTTCTATCATTTGGATGTTAAATTTTTGAAATTTGAAATTTAAACTATATCTACATCATATTACATTTATGTGATATATTTATATTAGTGTATGTATATTGTATAGCAATTATCATTTACTACTAGTCGCCTTATAGTCGCCTAGGCGGGCGCCTAGACGCCTAGGCGTCATGGCGTTACACTGGCGCCGCGACTCGCCTTGGCGACGTGATAACTATGGCTGGAACTACCCCCTAAGTTGAGCAAAGTCCATAATGTGTTCCATGTCTCCATGTTACATCATTACCAATCTGATCCCACACATCGACTACCTGAAGGAGCAGTCACTCTTGATGACAGTTTGACTTATGAGGAGGAACCCGTGCAAATTCTAGCACGGGAAATGAAGGAGTTGAGGAACAAGAGGGTGCCTCTGGTCAAAGTCTTGTGGAATAACCATGCTATTGAGGAGGCTACATGGGAGACTGAGGAGTCTATGAAAGTTAAGTAACCACATCTTTTCAGCGATTATGATTCTGTTAATTTTGAGGGCGAAATTCTTAACTAATTTATATAATTAATTAACTATTGTGTCGCTTAATACAGAGATTATTTTCTAAATTGCATATTTAATATGAGAGTTGTCCTACACTATAGGGCTCGCTATTCTGAACCCGACCGCGCAAACAGATCGTGAATCGGACTTACTAGGCCCAAGATACGAGTGACGAATAAGGTAATTGGACTTAAATTTATCTTAACTCGTTACAAAGTGTAAACTGGATCCTAAAATCTATTTAATTATATACTCCCTCCGTCCATGTATGATCTTCCCATTACGCGTTACGAAGCTTGACCGACTTTATTTTCAATTCAATTTAATTGATTATAGGAGTAAAATTTTAAAATAAATTTATATAGTAATAAACTACATGAAAAGTTCTACAAAACTAGAGGTGACAAGAATATATTATTTTATGAAATGACTAGTAAAATTGAGTAAACAAAGTGAGTAAAGTTTGACCTTGTGAATAGTGACAGAAGGGTATTAAATAGTGGGAGGGAAGCAGGTCTCTCTCTCTCTCCCGTTGGTTTTCCTGTCGCCTCCCTTGCTCAGTGTTCGATCGTCGTCAGTAAGCCAGCAGCCGCAGCACCGGCGAGAGCTTCATTGAGACATCGCCATCAACCACCTCCATCTCTCTCTCCTTCCACCGGTGTGCACGACTCAGCCGACGAGTTGCAGCGACAAGTTTCTCTCTTCCTGTTCGAATTCCAACTCTTTCAATTTCGGGTGATTCGTTGCCCAAATATCTGTTGTTAGCGTTACTTTGTAGATTAGGATCTTGTTTGTATTAATCTTGCGTTTGATTGTGAAATTCTTGGTTGATTGTGTGTTGAATTCATAGGGTTTCGAATGGGGGGGCTGTGGGGCTTTTTTCGGGCGTCACGCCGTTGGTTGGCAGGCGGTGGATGTGGTCAAAGTACTGGATAGATCCGGCGGGTCCAATTTGGACACAATTTGTCCAATTTGGACCCAATTGGGTCAATTTGGGTCTAATTGGGTTAAATTTTGTTTGATTAGGGCAATTGTGTTTCAATAGGGTCTGTCTAGATGGTAATTGTGGCTGTCCAGGTTACCATTGAGTATGTTCGGATTCTAATTGGGTTGTGGGGTCATTGGGCTTGCTGGTTTAGCTGTTTTGGGCCGGTCGGTGGGGCTGCTGGGCTAGTCGCTGGGGCTGCCGGGTAGCTGTTAGCGCTGGACGGTGGGGCTACCGGGGCCAGCTGTTGGGCCGATTGGGCCGGTTTGGGCCGGCTGTCCGAGGGGGTAGTGAGGCTGACGGGCGGTGGGCAGTGGTCTAGGTGGCTTGGTTAGTTGGTTTCTGGGCCGCCGGGTCGGTCCGATGCGTTGTCGGGCTAATCCAGTGGTAATTGGTACTGTTCTGGCGGGTTTAGCGGGCCTGAGGATGAAGTCCTTGGTCCCGAGTTCGCGACACAAGTAACTTATTTAAATATGAGTAAATTCCATAATTGGTCCTTTATAACAAGGGGGTTTCCCTATTTAGTCCTCTATTATCAAATATTACCCCAATCATCCTTCTTTTATGAGTATCTTTCCACAAATAGTCCTTTTTTGATCTTTTATCATGTTGGTGTTAATTTGAGGGTTAAAAGTGTAATTTCACAATGATAATATATCTTTTTTTGTCAAACACAATTCCAAAGGTTGTTCTGTTTGCGTTGTTTGTGAATTACATTCGCTTTCTAGTACAATCATAGTCTACAAGCGTGGTCTTCCGTCGGAATCCTAGGCCACAATCATAGTCATTATTTTTGTGTTATCCGCTTAACAAATATCAGAACATGTCACTGGTCATAATGTTGATGTCAAATTTTACTATTAGCCTTTAAATTAACACCCATATGGCGGAAGATAAAAAAAGGACCATTTCTGGAAAGACACCCTTAAAAAAAGGACCACGAGGGTAATATTTGATAATAGAGTACTAAATATGGAAACCCTCCTGTTATAAAGGACCAATTATGGAATTTACTTTTTAAATATTGTTGGGCTTAATCTTGTTATTTGAGCATGACGGTAATTGGTGAAAACTGATTCTTTCGATAGGCCGTTGAGTGTGTTGTTCAGTTTATGGAAATGTTTAAGTGATGATAGTCTCTGGAAAACTCTGATGGAAATTGGCCACCTAGTATACCTAGATGAAACTGAATTGAATTGGATAGTTTAATCATCAATAGGACTGTTGTTAGGTTCGGGCCTTGTGGAGCATGTTTGCATATCCAGTGGTCTAGGGTTCAAAACGTACGTACGGGAGTCACTGTTCTACCTAGGTACCCTACCCACGGTAGAGGGGTACCGTGCTACCTGTGGTAAGGATTACCACGGTATGGTCACTTGGTTGTCATTGGTACCGGGGTACCATGTTCACGGAAGTCGGGTACCGTGAGGCCTGAAACATTTTACATAACTTTATTTTTGTGTTCTTTTTTAAAATAACCCCAACTAAGAATATGTTTGACATTTTAGAAATAATATTTTGAGTGAAAGGGTATAAGTATTTCATTAATTATATCACTACCTTTAGACAAATGTTTCTAAACCTGTAGGAGTACATCTCGGTGATGCTAATCCAGTTAGATGAGGTTTGGCGTTTGATTTTTTTCTTGCAAATAATGTTATTAACATTTGAAGACTTATGTGGCACATCAAAACAGTTACGGGGTACGTCATTCAAGGCCAACAAGAAGATGGAAAAAAAGAAGGAGAAGAATAAGAAGAAGAGGAGGGAGAAGTCGGAGAAGAAATGTAACACCCTAATCCGTTCAGGTCTGCAGCCCCATTCGAACTAAAGTATTTAACTTGGTAATCGTAAAAATTTAAAACTTTTCAAACACACTTTATAAATCCCAATAATATTTTTCATAACATATACAGTACGGAGTATTCAACAATATTGCGGAAGCGATTTTAGTATTGACATATCATAAATCATTTCAAACTTGTCACATCCATCCCGACAATCTCGCCCCATCTACCGCCAGGATCACAATGTTCTTTCTGCTTACCTGCGTGTAGCAAATAAAAGACACTACACGCTCAGCGGTAAAGCTGAGTAAGCATATCTAATGCGTCGAACATCCATATAAACTGAATCTAAATTCATAATCAAATCATTTGATATCATGCACACAATGTTCATTTCAGACATTCACAGTTTTGGTATTGTTCAGTTCATATCATTACATTTTATTCAATTCAGATACTATTTCAATAGTGCTCTTAAATTATTCTTAATCTAAGGCCAGATTATAACAATGCTCTTAGCTATTCTTAGTCTAAGGCCA